TAAAGTGTCGATGCCATTTTATGATTACACATATTTTCAACTGCCTGATAAAGTTCTTCCAGAGAATAGCGGATACTTTTGCTGGTTTGTATAGCAACCACAGCCTCCTGTAATTTTTCCCATGTCTCTTCTTGATAGTTTTCTGGTAGTTTAGGTTTACCTATAAAAAAAATTATATTACAAAATAAATAAATAGAATAAAACTTGGCATATATATTTCTAATATTTTTTTAAGAAACTCTTTTGCAAGACATTTCCTACAGTTAAATTTCTCGTAAACTAATTTCTTCCAAGTTAATGAAAATAATTTTATATATTGTAAAACAGTATATACAATATAAAAGCTAAACATATACATAATAAAAATTATATACAATGTGTATATTAAAAAATTTAATTTATTCAATCGCATATAATTTTAAGACATTATTTTCTTATGCTATTTAGTTAATCACAAAATCGCAGTTATCTCACATAATAATACATAATCTACATAAACGCAAGAAAGGCGAAATGTCAAGTCAAACTTAAGAGAATGTCCATTTATAGATTCCTGCATTGTAACATTATTGCAACAATTATCTATAAATAGACATTTAACGCGTCAATGTGTTTTTCATGTAAGTCGAGCCAAATCACGCAATTAATTACAATTAACTGCGTGATTCAACAATATAAAAAAGGAAAACCGATCTATCGAATTATTACGATTTAAAGCTTAGGTTATGTGCCGTTCAATTAAGTATGACGCAAAAATGTCTAAATCCACGAAGTGTAGCCTAAAAAATTTGAGTTGTCCCTGAAGAAAAAAAAAATAAAAATTAAAAAAACAAAGAACAAGAAAGGAAAGTTGAAACATTCTAGAGCTCGCTGTTCTCGCGAGACGAAGCAGCTGATGTTTGAGGTTAGGTCAAAATCGGTTTGCGTGCCTAGTCCGGTAACTTACTTCTGAAGTTCTTGATGACGAGCTTCTTCGCAGAACCGGGTTTCGCGTTCGTAAGGCTCGGCGAGATTTTGCTGACGCCGTTCGGATTACCGACTGTCAACGCTGAAAAGTTGGCCCGTTTTTGCGTGTCAGCCGCAGCGGCTGCAGCGGCAGCGGCAGACGCCGTATCCGTCATGATGATCTCGTCAACTCTAATCGCGTCGATTTCGTCCGGATGCGCAATGCTTACGGCCGCGGCCAGCTTGCAGCACTCAGCTGCGCTCGCGTACTCGAACACCGCTGTGTGATCGGCGGCGGCAGCAACGGTGGCGGCGGTAGCAGCGACGGTGGCGGCAGCAGCGACGGTGGCGGCCACCTTCTTTACCCGTCTATCACACGGAACCTGGATATCGCAATGCCTAGACATATGCGCGCATCCCTTGGCCGCTGGTCCTTAAATGTAATGTAGAGAAACACAGCTTCTTTTGCTTTGGGCTCCGAATAATAAATACTGCTCGATTACACATATCACTAACAAGAACGTTTCCTCCTTTCACTTTTTCTCTCGCACCCAGTATTTCGTTTCGCTCCGCTACTCTGCAGACATGCGTTTACTACGTTCCATGTATGTATACATTGGAAAAAAATTTATTACAGCGTCTGCATGTGACAGTGCCATAGAATTACAAAATTACCGAGGTGATGCAGCGTAAATGAAATAAATGCTCTAAACATAGGGACTTATGCCTAATTCACACTGGACGCAGCAAGCGTCAAGCAGCGGAGCAGCAACCAATCGGTGAGACGATATTTACAGTGGCGTAAACAATAGCTGCGTTCAGCAGACTCAACAGTTTTGCAACCGTTTTATGATTGTCTGCTGAGATAGGACCATTCTTCTAGATCTAAAAGTATGATCCAATCAGCACGAAGGAAACTTCCAACAGTTGCAAAACGAACGTTCTGTTGAACGCAGCCAATATCAGAGCATTTATTTCGTAACTAGGAAGGAAAAGTAGAAAAAGTAGGAAAGCAGAAGCCAATCAGAATTCGGGCTGTACTATCATCTATTATGCGGGGTCTACAATAAAAGTCGTAGCGGTCGTAAGGTCTTAAGTCGTAGAAAATTGACCAATCACAGTTGATTATTCTTCTCATATTCGACTGTGATTGGTCAATAGGGTCTTCCTCGAATATTTTCTTTTTATCTAAAACAATGCTTCTACCCGTAAAAACAAAAGTTACAATAACAAAAGTTATTAAAAATCAATCAATAATTTTTTTTAATAAGTTAAAAATCACGTATGTTTTGAACGCTCATTTATTCGCGCCATATCCTGCTGAATCGTGACGTCACACGCTATAAGCCAATCACACTTTCTTTTCGCTCCTCTGTTTTTTAATAATTTTTAATAATTTTTTGGCCGTAAATGAGTATTGCTAATATTGATAAATGGATCTTATGAACAATGCAGATAATTTAAATCTATAAATATAATTTTTTTATGACTAAATATTCACTATTTTATTAAAATAAGTTAGGTTAGGTCGGTGACAGCTGTTGTTGACAGTTGATTTAAAATTTACATAAACCGATGTGAAATGGCAGAAAATTTGCAGAAACGAGTAATGGCAGAGAAAAAAAGAAATTACAAGTGGTGTTTTGTGCCTTCATGCACTCAAAACAATATCTGTTCTCCATCAACAATTTTCCTGTCAGTGCCAAAAGGAGAGATTCGAAGAAAATGGTTCGAAATCTCAGGCCGAACTGATGCTTCAACTATATCGCTGACTAGTAGTTTGTTTTGTTGTGAACACCATTTCAATGTAAGTCATATACCTAAAATATAATAAATTAATCCTAAATAATTCAAAATAAATTGATTTTATGTTTGCAGTTAGAGGAGGATGTTGAAAATTACATGCAAGTCAGGTTCATTCCAAACGTACTCATTCGCTTAAAGAATGGAGTTATGCCGACAAAATTTGCTTGCCAGCCTCATCGAGAAACATCAGATGCAAGCAACATTAATGTTATTAATATTGGTATCATTCAAATAAAAATTAATATTATCGAATTACATTATATGTGAATATAATAAATAATGTAATACTTACAGATCGTCAGTAATACTTACAGCTGCACAGTCTTCGCATCGAACATATTCGACCTTGTCTATCTCTTCGTTAACAAGCATCGATACAGAGTAAGGTTTATTATTTACTCTATGTTCAGGACATATTTTCCCTCGGACTTGGCAGAAATTACCTTCACGTTTTACTTCAACGTATCCCACAGCTGCATCACCATAATCTTTATCTTCAGCCCTGTAAAATACAGATATTGATTGTGGAACTATATTAAACTTTTATATATATTGAATGTATGTAAAGTGTGTAAACACCTTTTAGCTTTAACACCTCTTGTCTCTGCCACGTTAAAAAATTCATTTTCACTAAAAAAGTCAGCAACCATTAAAACGTTTAATTTTGGTAAATTATCCGATTGAGCTTTAACAAAACCTGTAATATTTCTCGCCATGTTGTAACTGATTACTTAGGGTGCGTTCCGTTTCTTGCATGATGTGCATAATGCATCATTTATCCTTGTTTAACATTCGGTGAATAACAAGGATAAAAGATGCATTATGCGCATCATGCAAGAAACGGAACGCACCCTTAGTAATTCGCATGATCCGTTAAATATCACATTTGTTTTGTTTATATATCTTATGTATGTGTCATTTACATGAAGTATGTATTTACAACGTTTAAACTTACCGGGCTCTGCTGAATCGTGACGTCACGGCCAATCATATTGCGTTCACTCCCCACTCATTTTTTAAGCACTTTTAATCGTTTTTAATAAAAAATCCTATTATTAATATCACTTTAAATTACTTTTAAGTTAATAAAAAGCGTATAAAGTAATTAATTATAATTTTTTTACACATTTCAATTTTTACAAATAAGACCCTATTTTCTACGACTTAAGACCCTATGACTGCTACGACTTCTATTGTAGACCCCGCATTACTAGCACGACTTTTGATTGTCATTCCATATCCAGCCAATCAAAAATTAGCCCATCTATGCCAGTCTCTTATTATAGTGTCTTTAGTGTGCAGAAGCTACACATAAAGGTGCTTTTTCATGCTGACGCTCGACGCTCATTTTCAGCGTCAAAATAGGTCATTTAATCAAAATAGCGCTTGATATTCGTCAATTTCTATCACGTGACTTATTTTGACGCCGAAAATGAGCGTCGAGCGTCAGCATGAAAAGGTACCTTAAGAGGCTTAAGAGCTATGCTAGGAACATATTAGAACATGTTGGAGCATGCGACGCGAACAAATGAGAAGAATAACCTACTGTGATTGGTCAATTTTCGCAACTACACCACTTAGGGCCATGGCACACAAAAAAACTTAAGCAGTAAAATGTAAGCAGTAAGCGAATTGACCAATCACAGTAGAGTCCATAAGGCCATAACATAAGCAGTAGCGAATCCAACATGTTGATTTCCTTACTGCTTATGTCTTACTGCCTTAAGTTTTTTATGTGCCAAGGCCCTTACAACTTATGCGGGATCTACAATTGAAGTCGTAGCGGTCGTAGGGTCATAAGTCGTAGAAAATTAACCAATCACAGTTGATTATTCTTCTCATATTCGACTGTGATTGGTCAATTTTCTACGACTTAAGACCCTACGACTGCTACGACTTCTATTGTAGACCCCGCATTACGCAACTGTAGAATGGACTTTATTTTACTCGAAATAAAACAAATTTCTTTACGATGTACGATAGTAGATCGAAGCAAAATAAACAAATAGATAAACATATAGAAAAAAATGTAGCTAAAAGAAAATTAGATTCAATTCCTGTCTTCATTATGCCTATTATTTCTCTTTAATTTCCTAAAATTACAAATACAGTTTTAAAATGCATTATCAAACGATGCAATTGTAAAAAATCGTCACATTACTAATTAAGCCACCTGCTAATTCTAGATGCAGTTTCTGGAAGATGAAAGCTTAGTACAGAGGTTATGCAGTTTAAGTCGTTTAGTACGAGCTGGTACCAGCCCTGGCGACTTATGGTTCGACCGGTTTGATGAATGGCAAACGATTTTTGCAATTAGGACTCACTGATAGTACGACGATATTGATTCTTTACTTAAGTCGAACAGGACAGAGCTAAATGATTGCTCTGTATATGAGATAGTACAAAATAGTCGTTAATAACTGTTTTCCACATTATTACGACTACATTCAGGTTAGTCGAATCTTACGATTTGCAAAATATCATTATTAAGATATTGCATATTTATTAAATATATGTATTAGGATAGTTTAAGATATTTTAAAAACGAAAAGGAATTATCTTTTTACATGTAGCACATTACAATCTTGATTAAATCTGTCGACATTACATAATCGTATAAATGAAAAGTTTGGAGGTTATATCAGGCACTTTAGAAATAAGATAGAAAGATTAGGTTTATCTTGTTAGCTTTTCAGATTATTATTCGTAAATAGGCTAATGCAATGACAATTTATCTTTATAACACTCTATTTTTTATTGGTCAAGTTTGTATTATTTTTCCGATGTTGGAGTTACATAATAGTGGATCGTGTGAATACGCTTTTCGAAAATCTATTTTTGCTCATTCAGAAATAAACTTGAAGTTAACATTAATAGAGCTGTTTAGTGAGTGATGGTAACGGGAATATGTGACCTCTTTACTGGAATGAATATTGCCATATTTATTTTATAAAGTTCATAATTTTATCACATGTATCTACTGGTTACTGTTGTACTATTTAATTGGAAAATGTTGAGATATATAATTCTTAATAATTTATATTCTTGATGCATTATATTAGAAATGTGATTAAAATATTTTTCTGAACATATATTTTTATTTATGGCTTATATTGCTATATTATGTAGATTTGTATAATTGATTTTTTTCTAAATGAGACATTAATTTGTATGATAGAATAAATCAAATAATCTTTTATATTTCTCCAGAAGTGAATATATTATTATATTATAAAATATGTACATGATATTATATTTTATAATATTTATTTACATCATTTTAAATTGGTAAATTATTAACTGATCATTTTTTATTGTTGAGATTAATTTGCTTCTCAAAATAATTGTCATACATTATTGCAAGTATGAAGTATTTGTCAATTTTTTAATTCAATATTTTTAAAATTGTTAATATTTAATTACATTTATCAAAAGTGTTTCTTGTATCTCCTTATAATTTTAAGAACGAAACACTTAAATATTAAATATTAATAATTAATTTAATTTAATTAATTATATTTAATATTTAAGTGTTTAATATTTTAAATGATAAGAAGATACACAAGAAACATTTGGTAAATGTGTGTGTATATATATATATATATATATATCAATTATGTGTTATGACACTTCAAAAATGTTAATTTGATTAGTGGCAAAAAAAGAGATTAGTACACACTATATGAAAATATATTTTCCTTTTTCTAAAAGTATATTTCATAAAAGATTATTTTTATATTCACAAAATTTTTTGTTTGGAGATAAATCTTCTTCAGTAATTGAATAGTTAACTGTTTTCCATTGCACTTCATTTTTAATTCATAATTTTACATGTTTTGTTGAGTTTTAATGATATTATAGCAGTTTAAAAAAGTGAGTGAGTGAATTTTTAATAGATTCGTCCTAATAAAAGAATAAATATTGTAGGTAAGTGTATCGAATTTCTCTATTGAATTTCGTATTTCTCTCACGTTTAGCTATATAATTATTACAATGATAGGAAACGTCTAATTATCGATAATAATTAGATTGCCAGAATTTTATTTGGCAATCTAATCACAAAAATATTATCTAAAATTATTATATATATAAAGACCTCATACATGAAATCATCAATAGAGTAAAAATTTATACTATACATTTCTCTTTATATATATCTAAATAAAACTAGGAATACTATCATAAGACAAATAATAATATAATGAGAAGCAAATAGATATTTTTGCAAGCAGTATTGCTCTCTTGCTTCAAAAATGACAATTAAAAAATGATTTATCGAATTATTACTTTCATGAATGAGTTAAATATACCTAAACATTATTCTTTCAATTATTAAAAGTAAACTTTCTAAAAAATTGTTGAAACATAACTAAAAAAGAGTGTATTATAAGGATGAAGTTGTGAAATGTAAGTGATAAAAATGACATTTAATATTAAAAATATACTCTTATTGCCGACATTATTTGATTAATCAATATTCTGTCAAGTTGAAAAGTAGTTTTTTTCTTTTTCTGAGAAACTTATTTTTTTAAATTGTGTCATTTTTAAAGTAAGTAAGAGAGCGATATATATAAATATATATATGTATGTTTAATAATTCCTTTTGTATTCTCACATTACAGAATGTCTTTTCCAAACAAAGAAGATCGCATAAAGTGCTGGAGTCGCAGGGATGAATATTGGCAATGTCTCGATGAAGGCAAATCTCAAGCGGAATGTGTAGAATTTAGGAAACAATATGAAAAATTCTGCCCATCTCAATGGGTACGTATTACAGACAGTGTTTTTCTCTACAGCATTTCTAAAGAACTTTGTTTAATGTTTACTTTGTGTATTTTTAATACCGATAATAGAACCTTTTTTTTTACTGTCTAACAAGTCTTCTATGCCACTGTTACGCAGGTGAAACATTTTGATCGTAAGCGAGATTACTTGAAGTTCAAAGAGCAAATAGAGACGGGGGGGTATGTTCCTGAAGACCCAAAGGAAACATAAGATACTAATCTTTCGATTTTACTGTATTCATAGCAAGTCATGATTGAATTATTAATATTAACTATTAAACAATTAATTTCATACATTATCCATTCGAATGTTTTTGGACTTTACATTGTTATTTTCACTTGTTGAATTATAATAAATAAGATGCTTAAAAATAACACAAGACAATGGTTTTATTGCAACATTCTATTATCCTTAACTGGTATTTTACAGAAACTCTGAATTCGTTCTCTCTTTCAAATTTCTATGTTCCAGAATATCATCTCCAATGTACTAAACTCTAATTTAGTAGTTATTTCCATATCACAGGCTTTTATATTATACTTTAACTAATAATTTTTTTGGAAAAAAATTTTAAATTTTGTTGCGCAGTTTTTTTTGCGACTTTTAATCATAATTTGGTTACCTTTATACATCAATTGCCTTTTCTCTTCTTCCTTATCACTGAATCGATCCTGTATGGCAATTTACGAGAACGTGATTACTCTTCATTACTTGCAGGACTTGTCTTGATGGTGGGATGCAAAGTTCTGAAAGATCAGATTTGCCGAAGAAGGTCGATAAGAAAAGCCAAGCAGTTCTTGATTTTCAAATGGCAGATAAAAACTTACACAACTAAAGATATTATTTTAACATTACCCAATATATTACGAAATAGAAATCTCGCAGGAAAAACGAACCAAACGATAGTCAAATTACAAATAATTATTTTTATTGAACACAAAATACTGAACATAAAAATGGAACCGCACGACGTGTTCAACAAATTACAAAACTGTCAAAACGATATACTGATTTTCCGAGTTAGTATTTCCTTCACTATTTAATTAAAATGTTTCATTGCAATTTGATTACAGTGACTTGTCTACTTTTTTTTCAGAAATTGATAAGTACCGCGCCCTTGCACGATTCTACGGGCGAAAGCGTGAAAGAATGGCAAACAATTCTAGCGCACATTATAGAGCTAATCAGTAATAATTCCGAATTGGGGAATGAACGCATTCTTTTAGCATGCCACGCATTCTATGCTTTGCTTCCGACGCAATGCGACTCGCACGCTCTCAAAGACATCATAATTGGTTTCCAAAAACTGGACTCATGCAATTTATGTTTCCTCGAGAAGCAATACACCGTTTCTGATCTCGAGCTCTTCAAGCTACTGAATGCCTACGGATATCTGCAAGTAAATCGGAAAAATGTTCTTGAGACGTGCTTCGAATATGACGCTCTCTTAATTATGTTTGATGTAATATATAGAAATTGTATGAAATATACGAGATATACTTATTTCGCGTATAGAGTATTGTCCGTGTGGTTGAAGAGATTAAGGAATACCACGGACGAGCGCTTTTGGAACAAACAGAATTGTATTTTAGAACAAAAGTTGGAAGCTATTATATTTTCCAATTGGTCCAATGTGCTTAATAATTTATGCAAGCAGAACGCAGAAATTTTCAACATGTATCTCCGGATAATGTTACAAAAACATAAAAGAACATTCATAGATAATGTATATCAGATATGTCTTCAAGACATGTCGTGGCAAAACGAAACAAAATACATCATTCTAACAGAAATTTTACAAGTACATGATATTAAAGTCCAAACTATGCAGTGTTTCTTATTTGAATTATGCAATAGCTTAACAAAAATTTCTTTGCGTTGCGGCGGTACAAAACTTTATATGACGATTTTAAGGAAACTAAATGAGGCTGAATGGAAGGAAATGTTCGGGGAAGTTATGAAATTCGTTATTAACCGCTGGGAATCGGGAAAGCAGTAAGTTTGTAGAATATTCTTTATCATAAAGCTTATTTTTTCTAATGATAAACGATAATCTTTTAATTTATTCCTCTTTGTTTCTTAGGCAGAGAGTTATGTCAAAGAATTATTTGTAAAATTTCTTTATAATAAATAGAACAGTCATGTGTAATTTACGATTTCTTTTAATAATAAAAAACACGTTCTAGAATTTAATACGATATAATTGAAAATTTTTTGCAGTGTGGATCACAACGCTCTTCAATCATTGTTTATATACTGGCTCGAACCGACTATTGAAATGTACAGAAACATTTTACCATTTTTATGGGAATTGTGCGGTAATACGCAGGGATACTTTTTTCGTTCGCATCTGCAAAGAATGGCCGCTAAAATACATGTAGAGCTGCCGCGAATGTACGAAATCGATCGTGACAACATAGACAACAAAGAAGAAATCATACGATTGAATGCTTTTGCAGTGCTTTGTTATCGCGCTGTCGAGCTGATAAACAACGAAGCTGACACTAACGAAGCAGACCCATTTCTTCTGATAAAACAATTTCTGTGGTTTAATGCCAATACCGCAACGATTCTTATGAGAGAAGGAATAATAAAATATTTCAGGATATTATGTTCAAATATCTTAAAAGCATTCAACATTAAAACTGATTGTGTACTAGCTATTTCTGAATTTATGAATTGGCTACACAAATACTTCCTGGATTGTTTCGAAATTGGCTCGTGTTATCAACGTAAAATTCTCGCTTTAAACTTATATAGGACCTTACTCTCTTTTACAAATAAAAGTTTGTACAAGAATTACACCCGTAAGAAATGCCTTCACAATATTGTAGTGCTCGATAAGTACTTGAAGACTACTGATAGTTCAAGTAGGTTACTAAAAGGAATCTTTCTTGGAGGTTTAAGGAATCTTTGTAGGAGGTTTACCAATAAGGAATCTTTGTTCTTATTATTACGACTCGTGCTAGACTCTGCAATTGATGTTAGACAACTAGCTAGCACCCTCATTCTAGAATATTTTGGAAAGGACGCTTTATCGACTACGGAAAAACGCGTAAGAAGCTTGTCATACTTATGTGTTTCCTTAAATGTTTTACGCTTTTGCATATACATATATGAGTTAAGAAAAACTTAAAGGATATATTCTTTGACTAATACGAACTTTTCTTAAAAATCAATAGATTTTAATATATGAAAGTTGTAATAGACTATCTATTAGACTAAACTTTACTAGATAAGAATAAATAGCAATCTCTTATTCTAGATTGAATTTTACTTAAACATTATTGTAAAAGAAACTTAAACTATAGCTCACAATTATCAAGATATTCAAAATATTAAAAATGTAAAAGTTGTATATTAAAATTTATTTTTCTATGGAAAAATGCTAATTCAAAATTGAGTAAAGATTACGATTCTGAATTTTAGAATAGTTTCTTTTAACGATAATATTATAATTAAAAAATTCTGACTTTAGATACTCTACAATTGTGCGTGGGAACATTGCAATTCTTCGAAATTCTACAAAATTGAAAGCGGAGCAATTCTCGTGAAGATAATTGCGCATTGGTTGCCTTTAAACAAGGTTTCTAACGAGGTCTCTAAGAATATCGCAGCTGCGATATTTTCCGACAATGAGTATAATAATATTCTCGTTTACTCGAGTTATTCAGAATTTCTGTTGAATGAAGCTAAATGTCAATTAGCAGACATGAAATGCGATATTTTAAAAGCCATTGTCAAAAATAGACCATTTTATGGTGTGTTAACTGCTTTATTAGCAGTTGCTTTTCGCAGTGGCCCAGAGAATTGGGTTTTAACACCACAATTTACAGAGAAAATGCTCAGTCTTTTGAAAGACGCTGTTGAGTTCTTTTTATCTACGTTTTCTACCAAAGCATCAAATACAGGTATCAGTATTTATAAGTAATATTAAAAAGTCTGATCTATATTTTACGATTACTACCATCACCAAATATAAAATATTAATTTTCCAGTATTAGAACTTAATAATAATTTATCAGTAACTTATAATTATTATTAGTAATAATAATTACATAGAGAGAAATTTTTATTGATGAATTAAGATTATGTAATTAAAATCGGTCACTTTTTCTTAACATTATATCACCTATTAATAGGAATTGCCTAATTTCTGTATAATAATTTTATGTTTAGTTTATTCCTCCTCGTTTGCGGAGATGGGATTAGCTATTGATGAAAAGATAAAAACCAGTGAAATAGAAGATTTTGATTATGATCAATTGCAATTGTCACCTGCACATCAAATACTTATCTCGTGTATTTGGATGTCCTTAAAGGTATATGTTCGCTTATTTGCCATGATTAGTTTAATATTATGACAAGATAATTGTTACAACTAATTAAACGAATACAATTTTTACATAGATATCATGTGAGATCGCTAGTGAAATTGGAATGTTGATACAGTCCAATGCACATGTAAAACGTTCCATAGATATTATTGTTATGGTACTACTGAAGTGTCGACATAAAGGCGTAGTGGAAAGTGCTGGTGTAACCATTGCAAATTTATCCAAGTAATTATATATCAATAGAACTTTGTTTAATATATTATAAATACGTAAATAATATATATTTTATAAATATATAAATAATGAAATATATATTAATAAGTTAATGTATAAAGTAATGTAATGAATATGTGTTATCGAGATAACTATTCAATGTGAGACAAAAATAATGAATTTATAATAACAATGTATTAATTAATTTAATTTAATTATTTTTCATAATAATTGTTATGATTCCAAGCAATTATATTTAAATAAAAAATTGTTTTAGATGTTTGTATAACGAAGAGAAGTACTCTGAGCTACCAAAAATATATCTGACGTGTTTGTTAGAAGAAGATACAAAAAAATCGTTGCATTTAACACGACGAGGTGCTGGATTATCAATCATGTTTCACAAATTAATCGTTAGTGATAATCGGAACAATCGGCCCACAGTGCATTTTGCAGTAGAGACATTATTGCACTCGTTGAAAAACGTCTCGGTGACAGCTGTTAGAAATGTCGAGACTGGAGAAGACTCACCATGGGCAAAACGCTTGCATTTCCTGCGTACGTTAGTAGCTGATAAGGAAATCCACGCGCAATTAGTTCCATACATGGAGGACATTTGTTTAACGTGTTTCAAATATATGGAATCCGATGTTTGGACTGTAAGGTAACGCAACGCCATTTTGTTCATTTA